GAAAAAATATAATTAAAAATTAATAACTATTAACAAAAAAATCAGGTGAGCATATAAAACAAAGCATAAAAACTTAAATGAAACCCATTTGGTATAACCAAATGAATTAATAAGTAACAAGCAAGCAGAACAGGCTTTTCTTCCACGATGGCCTAAAATTATTATTTTTTATTTTGTTGTAGTCAGTGTGCATAGAATTATGCCTCAGTCCATCATACTTTGCATCACTTAATATAGGTCTTTTTATATTTTTGCATGTTTGAGATTATAATTAATGGCATTATAATATTCTATTACATTAATATGCAAGGATTTATTCAGATATTCGCCAACTTTGGGTAAACAGTTTGTTCTATTTTTTTTTTTTTGGCTATTACATATAAAGCAGCAACGAGTATTTTTTATACAGAGAGGCTCCTTTTCCTTTTTTATGGTATTTTTCGGATAAAATCCTAGCAATGGAATTATTAGATTAAAAGGTATGTATTATTTTTGTGTTTCAAATTGCCTATCGCGATATTGTTTTCAAGATATGGCACTAGTCTTTAGTCCCACTCTCAAATGATGTGGGAGGGCGCCCATTTACCTGAACTTATTTCTTTTTTTTTTTCCTGAATTCATTTCTTAACGTTGCTCAGATTCTCTCAACTCTGAATTCTCTTACTGACAGCCGTTTCACTTGCTTGTTTCATCCCCTTGCATCCCGATGCTCTGCAAACACTCTGGCAACAGATCAAACCTAGATTTTTGTATTCTTCTTGCTTTCCTCTCAACTCAGAACTATCTCCTTCCTCTGCCTTGGATAAGGATTACTCTTCCCCCCAGTCCATAACTTTCTAATCTCTGGCCCTGCCTTGTGGGATGTGTGACATTCAGATAAAGGACTGGCAGGATGGTTCAGTCTAAAATTTTAGATGAGGGGTTGGCTTAAGAGGGATGGCAAGCTGTCAGAAATGAAATTCTGTTAATACAGATGATTCTAGTGAAGAAAAAAAGGAGTACCTTTTTAAGGAGACTGATGTGGCTACCCAGGAAACTGCAAACTCAGGTTTAAAAAAGACATATACAGAAGATGAAAGTATGGTCAGGTAACAGGATCAATACAAAAGAATGGCGCAGACATTTAAGAATGATGTTAAGAATGCTAGATTCCTGATAAGCTGAGGCTTGCTATGAATACTAAGGACAATACAACTGTTTAAGATACCCTGGAGACAAGAGGAAAAGCAAAGAAGGGAAATAACTATTGCTCAGAGGGGTTGGGTCAATGATAACAGATGACAATATGGTAGGAGTGGGTGGGTGTTACATTTCCTCACTCTTGACAGGAATAAAGCCATTTTAGAATAAGCCTCAATTTCAGGGAAGGCAGTTACATCCAACCCCTATGTTTTCTTTATTTCCTTCTACTCCAGTTCTTGCACAAAGCTACCCAAAAGAAGTAGTCTGTTCTGTCTCAGACAGCAAGGCCAATGCCAGACTAGCATAATAAGGAGCTCCCAGCTTTCTTTCTAAAATACAATCAACTGGTCCCAAAGCCAGGAGCAAATTGTTGTGAACCCAAAATGAATATTTTTTTATATGCCATAAATATCTATGGGAAATGAGTGGCATTAAAAATTCTGCTTGCCCTTCTCTATAGGCTAATCCATACTTCTCCATGCCATGGCTCATGGTGATGGATGAAATAAACCGTTTTTTTTTACTGACTTGCCCATGAAATTGTGTCACTGTGGATAAAACATTGGGCCCGAAGTCAGGAAAACTTGAGTTTAGATCTGACCTCAGACACTGATGAGGTGTGTGATCCTGAGAAAGTCACATAACCTCTCTTTGCCTCAGTTTCTTCATCTGTTAAGTGAGGATAATAACACTTAACTTGCAGGGCTGTTGTTATGATCAAATGAGATAAAAATTATAAAGTGCTTAGCCCAGTGCCTGGCACATAGTGGATGCTAAATAAATATTAACTATTAGAGAAAAGGATGAGCTACTCAAGTCTCACTTGACTTCTGTTTTGTCTACCAAGGAAAATGATCTTCTGACTAAATACAGAAATGAATAATTAATCCGGAAATTAAATTTCAGAATATGGGAGATGATGATAAGAAAACACACAGCAACTAACTGCCTTATGAGGTTCATGTAAACAGTCCTGGATGAACTGTTAATCTGGGGCTCTGAAAGCATTTGCTTATGTGATTACTCCATTGTGATCTTTTTGAAAAGATCTATGCTCTTCTAAAAACCAAAGAGAAATGCAAGGTACCAAAGGGCTAGAGAAATGCAAAAGTGGTCTTGACTTCCAAAAAAGGCAAAAAAGGCAGGTTCTTCCAGTGAACAGGTCAATGAATTTACCTTTGACGCAGGACAAAATTCTAGAACCCAATTATTAAAAAAAGCAGTGGTTGTGATGAAAAAGCAATAGTGGATCAAAAACAAACCCTGCCAGACTAAATGAATTTCTTTCTTTCTTTTTTTTTTTTTTGATAGGATTCCTAGATTGGGAGATGAAGGCGATGATGCACAGATAATAAACCTGGCATCCAGCAAATCACTTAGCAATGTCTCTCACACATCTTCTAGATCAGATAGAGAGATATTGGTTGGATAAGTTGAAAGGATTCAAAACTGGTTCAATGACCAGACTTATGGCGTCATGATTAATGGATTAATGCCTCCCTACAGGGGTTGTTGGGTGGAATGCACCAGGGATATTTCCTTGGCCTTGTCTTGGTCAACATATATATCAATAGTTTGGACTGAGGCAAAAATGGCTTGCTTACAAAATTTGTGGATGACACAAACTAGAAGGAATAGTTAAATATTGGATGTCATGGTCAGGTTTTAAAAATATCTCAACAGGGTGGAATGTGTGGCCAAAGCTAATAAAATGAAATTTACTAGGGATACACCTAAAAATCTTAAATATGGATTAAAGTTAACTTCTCAAGTAGAAGACTGGAAGGGGGAAGGTTAAAAAGCAGTTCATCTGAAAATAAACTTCTACTAGAGGATTAGTAGGCTGTAAAGTCACCCAGAATTAATTGTGATAAGATACCTCAAAAAAGTTAAGGCAGTCTTAGGCTGAGGGATAGGAAAGTGTCTAGGATGAGGGAGGTGATCATCCTGCTGCATTCTGACCTGGTCAGATCACAGCTAGAGTACTGTGTTTAGTTCTAGGCAACATATTTTAGGAAGGATACATCCATTGGATAAATCAGGGCTCATCCACTGGTGGGCGACCAGGATGGTGAGGCTACAGGAAATGATTTCATAGGAGGTTCAACTGAAGGAGCTAGGGATCATAGGAAAACAGATCATGGATTTTAGAGCTGGAAGGGGTGGAGGGAATCTCAGAGTTCAATCCCTTCATTGTACACATAAGTAAATTTCCGAGATCCAGAAAATTTAAGGGACTTACCAAAGACTACAGCAAATGACTGACTTGAGATTTGAATTCAATTCTAAATTTAGAGCTCTTTCCTGTATTGTATGATGAATGAGATGATTTAAACCCTCTTAAATAGGAAGAAATGGGTAGGTCCCTAAAACAGATACTGCCCAGAAGAGGAAGGACCTGGTAGTAAAGCTCAGTGGGGACTGAGCCTTTGAAAGGAGTAGAAAGGCACTAATGGGAAGAAGAAGAATGGGCCAGGGGATCAAAGCCAAACTTCACCCATTATATTCTGGCTCAGAGATGGCCCTGGGAGTTTGAAATGCTGAGATTTCAGAAAGGCCTCTGTTCAATCTGCAAGATTTTGAATGGAGAAAATGGTTATGTGTGACCACAGCTTTGAGCAACTACAGAAAGCCTCTGAGACTATCAATCCTGCCCCTCAAAGATCTGTCCTAACAACAATCAGTCATCAGCCTCTGTGTTAGAAGATACCTTTCTGACCTTCTTTAGCCAAGGTACAATTTTGTGAATTCAAACGATGGCACTTGAAGCATCACTATGGGAACTGGAATGCCATTTTTAGTGAAGCATGAAGGGACCATGGAGAAATAGGTCAATGACCACCAAAATGTGTTTATTCTCCCAGGCTACAGTTATCCCTACCACATTGCAGGGTTTAGGGGCTCAGTGCCCCTGCAATCTGGAAAATCCATGTAAAATTTTTTGGCTCTCCTTTTGTATCAAAGAAAAAGTCTGAATTTTTTTTCTTTTTCTTTTTTTTTCTTCTATTTCTTTTTTTTTCTTAACCCAATACCTTGTTGTATTGGGTTAAGTCTCTGTGTTGTCTGTCTTCACACATCACCTGTGGCTTCTGCAAAACTCCCCCCAAATTCCCATTTAATTTCTTATGCCAACCCACAATATATCAAAACTGCAATGGGGAAAATCACATTGTGGAAGGGATAACTGTACATTTTCCTTGAATGATACAAAAGTGCCAGTTTAACCTACAGCTTGTGTGTGTGTGTGTGTGTGTATGTATGTATGTACGTGTTTATGTGTGTTGGGGGTAGCAGTGGTACAAAATGTCTATGTGGCCAATCAGATACCTAGGAATAGCTAAGGAGGGCCCTGCAAAAGTTAGGAATGGGGATTCCCTTCAAAACTTGTCAAAAGATCCTTAAAGGGAGAGACCATGCTTCATATCCTATTTCCCCCATGGTCCCTAGCACAGCGTTAGCATGCAATAAAACCTTACTGACTGAATGACTGATTTTTGCGTAAGACCCAAGTTGCAGAAACCATGGCTGTGGTTCTACAGTATTGATACAAAAAGGGATTCTCATTTCATAGTATCTGCTGATAAGATGGGGTTAAATTCTAATACTGGAGGTTAGGGGGCCAAGACAGAACTCTACAGCAAAATGTCTTTGATGTTCTGAGAATGGAAAAGAAGGTTCAGTCTTTATGCCCTGTGAGCCTGTAAGCAATTGGGTATAGCACGATTTCAAGGCATTCCATGTATCCTCATTCACCTTTGAGGCGAGAACACAAATGCTGAAAGAGCTTGCCATGACCTGATCCCTGCTGCTTTACTTACATTTTGTTTCTCTTCTCATCATAGGCCAGAATCTTGGTCACATCCCAGTCCCCTGAGGTGATGGACTGGAGGTTGTCGTTGCTGCTGTTGGGCTACAACACACAAAGAAGAAGATGATCTCGTTATTGGAAAAAAAAACATACTGGGGGCTATTGCTTTTACTGTTTTGCATATTGTATGCCAGCTTGATGGAAACATGGCTTCCCTCTGTGTATGGAATGTCCTCATTCCACTTTCCCACTTAGAAGAATCTTATATATTGTTCAGAGGGTAACATCTCCACAAAGTCTTCCCTGACCATCCTCCCACCCCGCTACAGTGATCTCTTCCTCCCCTAAATTCCTAGAGT